GCAATGTCAAACCACTTCTGGATCATCTGCCAAGAACGTATATGAACAGGTCCCAGTCCGAGAAAAGGATGGAAGGATCCTGTTCATATGGACCTGTCGTCAGACAGAACACTACAAATAAAAAAAATAAATAAAATACAATGAGAAGTATCAAAAGATGGCTACGTCACACAGACTGAGGGTGTCTGAGAACAGTGATAAACTCAATTCCTTTGCACAGTGTACAATAAACAAACGCGTATGTAGGAATCCGTGTTCTTCAGTCTCCCTAAATATTTCGTTTCCGAAACTGCAGAATGTATTTCGATAAAATTTGGCATCTGCAGCGTAAACTAATCAAAGTCAGGTAAATCTAATTTTACTGTTGTTTTCATAACATAAGTGTTTGAAAACAAGGTGCTCAAGAAAATATGTGGACTTAGGAGGGATTAAATAAGTGGAGAGTACCTCAGTGATCCCATGAGTTATGCTGACTGTAGCATAGCTACTGGTAGGGCCTCCCTAGCCAGATTGGTCGAGGGGGAGAGGTCAGACTAAGACAGGTACCCTGGTCCTCCAGGTTGGGGGTTGGTCGCAAGGCTAACAACCTTGCACCGTAAAAAGAAAGATGTTTCAAAACCTCAATCAAAGCCTCGGACAGACGGACCTAACAGAGGACCGAATGGAAGAGGAGAATTGAGGAGGCCATGGACCGAATGCGGACCGGAGAGCCATGGAAGAAGACGAAATAAGTGGAGAATTTAAAATATTGCATAATTTAGGAGCTGCGTGAATTGTACGGGTCACCTAGCATAGTGAAGACGGTGAAATCTATGAGGCTCCGATGGGCTGGACATGTAGCATCCATGGGGAGAGGCTAAGGGGTGCATACAGGATTTTGGTAGTGAATCTTTCTGGAAAACGACCTCTGGATAGACCAAGAATGAGATGGGATGATAACATCAAGATTGATCTTGGAGAGGTGGGCTGTGAGGATGGCAAATGGATGGAGTTGACTCAAGATCGTGGCCGGTGGCGGGCTTTGGTGTTGTCGGTGCTGAACCTTGCGGGTTCTGCTACCAGGGAGTTAGTTAGATAAATCTAATTTTAAGTTTCCAGTTTACACAAAATTAAAACTCAGACGGAAAGTCTTATCATCTCTTCTCCTAGCCGCTTATATTCTCCTGTTTTATCTTTCTCGCATCTTCTCTTCTCGTATTCACTTCTCTCGGTTGGCTGATATTTATTTACTGAAATCGCTCCAGCAGTTTCTTAACTGCGATAGATTCTTCCGTAAAAGGATTCACTTTACTGAGATGCACAAAGATGAATTCTATTTCAACTTACACAGATAGTGTAGACATAAATGCAATACAACAAGAGTTCTACCGCTGCAATACTTCCGTTTGCAAGGTAGATTCGTATATTCAGAAAGTTCAATTATACACAGGCAAGAGACACAAAAGTTATTCAGCGGCGCTGAATCAACTACATCGCATTATTTAATGACTAACAAATTCACAGTGACGACCTAAAACGAAATAAAATCTAAATTTTGATGGGCGGGAATGTGGAAGGAGACTGTCGTGATAATGTTAGAGTACAACCTCTAGCAGACATTTGGAGAGACAACGCAAAATCACAGAAACTACAGCAAAGATTTCGCCTATGTTGATCTTCTGGGTTGAAATGTCGTGTGAACTTGTAATTAGATAGCAACGTTTCGGCGGAACATACTGTCTTCATCTTCAGGACTGAAGCAGTACCTATGAATGACTACTACAGCATTCCTCGTAAATAAAGATGCTGCATTATGACCAAGAATCTGGAAGGATCGCAAAATTCCCGAATCTACCACTAAGAGAAAAAAAAATACTGTTTACTAACACCGTTTGAAATTGATACGGAGAAAACCGAACGTCACCAGCGAGTTAACCTGGCACTTCTGGGTTCAAATCTCATTCCAGACACTTGCTCTCTTTACATAGATTTGTCGTGGTTTTACTCAATCCTTTCCGAGATAGTATTTTCAATTAGGCCACGATCGCATCCTTCCAAATCTTCTCTTAATTAATTATATATTAATCATCGTATAATCTCGATACATATAAACTGAACTGCTGACAGCGTCGTTAAACAGAACTAAAAATGAATGTAGAGAACAAAACTGACATAAATGGAATTCTGAAAATATGAATAAGTAAAAGAATTTGATGAAGAGAAATACACGAGCACTTTTGAGTGTCATTAAATATAAGACAGAAGGAACAATGGAGGTTTGTTCTTGTAAGCCTAGGATTTGGTTAGTTGTGCAGAAAACGGCTTAAAATATTAGGATGGTATAATTATACAGGAGGCTAAATCCTACCTGTTACTACAGAAATTGGAATAACATTAGTATTTTACTATCTGCATTATAAGTGTAAATTAAATGTTATAGAGTTTCCATTATTACCACGCTGAACACATTCTAGTAATATGTCTTCTGTAATGTTTCGTCGTGTAATCTCGTCGAAACTGATAGACATCGGTTATAAATCATGTTTGAAACTTCAGTCAGTTTCTACGAGACTACACGGCATATCGTCTCAGAAGACATGGTAACCTGAAAAGTTACAACAAGAAACAAAGTTGACACATGAAAAG